GTTATTAATTATAGTTAATTAATTATGGACAGGATTCGTTCGAAACGTTCGCCCGCCCGTACCATCAATTGATCACTGTGAGAAGCAACAATCTTATTAATAATATTTATGAATAATAATAATAAACTATTATTATTATTATTAATCATATTATTATTATTATTATTATTATTATTATTATTATTATTATTATTAGTAGTAGTAGTAGTAGTAGTAGTAGTAGTAGTAGTAGTAGTAGTAGTAGTAGTAGTAGTAGTAGTAGTAGTAGTAATAGCAACAATCGTAACAATAATATTATTATTATTCATATTATTATTATAGCACTGTCATGTCTGCTATGTTTTACTTCCTCAAAAAACTGAAAACACACGCACACGCACGCACGCACACGCGCACACACACACACACACACTCGCGCTTGGTACGACAAACAAAAATGATGCCTATACACAGCTCTCTGACGTCATTCTATATTTAGAATCGCGATCATGGTGCTGATGATGATGATACTACTACTATTACTGCTGCTGCAGCTACTACAGCCACTACTACTACTACTACTACTACTACTAATAATAATAATAATAACACTACTAACATGACTAACTATAGCAGTACGAAGTTCATTATTATGACGAAGATGAAGGTGACAAGGACTTCTATTTCAATGAAAATAATGTTAATAATAATGACGTCATATATATGTATATATATATACTCACACACACAAAATACAGATGATAAAGATGCATAGATAACAAAACGTAGTAGCCAATCAAAACATAGTATCAGTACATAGATGAAAACATAGATATCAAGTCATAGATAATGAAAACATAGATATTAAACCATAGATAATGATAATATAGACATCAAAGGAATGGGTTTAGAGTCGGGATTTCTGTGAGCATTATCGTTGTGATCTAAGAATCAATCAACCAATCAAAACAACGGCCTCAATCAACAATCAACCAATCAAATCGATTGACCAAAACAATCAACCAATCAAATCAGTCAATCAAAACAATCAACCAATCAGATCAATCAATCAGCTGGTTGTTGTTTCGAATGGTTGAAATAATATTGACGATAATGCCCTGTGAAATCCTGAGTTGAAAATCCTATCTCGACATCATCATCATCATCATCTCTTTTTTTCCCTCTCTCTCTCTCTCTAATCATCACCCAACTTTTTTCACTTTCTTTCCATCACATGACATCATTTTTTTTGTTGTTCTTCAATTGATATTGCAATGAAACTCTTCTAAAGCATGAACTTCAAAATGTAAAAATCGAAATATAGTTACTGGTACTTGAATGGAAACCGACGCAAAACTACAAATCTTCCCCCTTTTCTCCCTTCAACAATATCTCTATTTATTTGATAAATTATTTCAATCCAACAGTCATTCGTTCTCTCTCTCTCTTTCTTTCTCTCTCTCTCTTTCTTCCTTCATCTTCAACATCCCTCCACCCATCGTTTCTTTAAGCCTTCAGCGTTATTTCAACAGGTACGACGAGTTAGCCGAGTCGGTAGGAGCCCTGCCACATCATGAGATGTTGAATGAACGAGTGGCAGGAGAACAGCGCGGAGAGAGCCGGTTCGAACGCGACCTGCGCCGATTATCATTTCCAAACTTCAAGGCATATAACCCGAAATGATATATATATATATATATATATATATATATATATATATATATATATATATAAACTGTGTGTTAAAAAGCAACAACTGTTCTTTCGTCTATTTACTTCATAATAATAACATTAATTACAATAATAGTAATAATAATAACAATAATAATAAAAACAATAATAATAATTATTATTATTATTACTATTAGTGTTATTATTATTGTTATCTGATGTCTTCTTCTCGGCCACTTTCTATGGATGTGGTTAGAAATCCAGTAGCTTATTTGTAATAGTGATAATAAACAGTTATCAAAAAATGAATGGATGAATGGAATGAACGAATGAATGAATGAATGAATGAATAAATGAATGAATGAATGAACAGGAATGAATGGATGAACAGGAATGAATGGATGAACAGGAACGAATGAATGAATGAAAGGTGGATAAATAAATAAAAAAAACGAAAATGAACGAATATAAAAACGCACGCACACACGCGCACACACAGACACCCACACACACAAACAAGAACACACGCACTAATTAATAAAAATAATAATTAACGTACTAATTGAGGTAGAATCTTCTCTAAATGTCCAACATTAACTTCCTCCGACTGTTCAAACTGTAAGAATGAATGAATGAATTAATTAAATAATGGATTAATTAATGAATGAATTAATTAATTAATTAATAAACTGATCTTGAATGAATGAAATAATGACGGAATGAATGAACGAATGCATGGAGAAATTGATTAATAGGTAATAGAACGGATGAGAAACAAAGAAATGAATGAATGAATGAATGAATGAATGGATGGATGGATGGATGGATGGATGGACGAATAAACAATGAATGAATGAATGAGAAAACGAATAAATAAAAATATAACAGGAAAAAACTTGAGATAAAATTTAAAAAAGAAAAATAATTTTTTTATTTTTCAACCAAGTCACCTTGGCAATCTTTATGCTTCTCAGTGTGGCTTCTATTAAAAAAAATTCACATTTTTATATACCAAAATACCTTTTAATAAAATAATCACACACACGCACTCACACACACACGCACACTCTCACACGTATGCATATATATTGTGGTAATTCATTCATCCATTCAATCAATCATAAATTCATTAAAACATCCATTCATTCATTCGGTCATTCATTCATTCACAATTTATTTTCAATAATAATTACGAATAATTTAATAATTTAACCTATTACAAACACTTTAGCCAAGTCAGCGATTGATTCGCTGGTCAGCGAGCCAACTGCATTTAAAAAAAAAAATAAAATAACAATAATCATAATATGTTTATTATTATTGTTAATATTATTATTATATAATTATTAAGTTAAGAGAATGAAGTTACCCATAATAATTGAAGAAATTCGTGTATGAACATTTAATACACGTATTGTATGGTTATTAATCACAGTGGTCCTATCTTTCTAGCGATACTCAAAAACGGTACCGGATCGGCGATATCTATACCGAAACCGATACAACTACTACTACTACTACTAATAATAATAATAATAATAATAATAAGAAGAAGAAGAAGAAGAAGAAGAATCATAACCTTTTGATTTTTCATCTTTCATGAAATGTTCAATCATTTTCGTAATTGTCTCCTAGTAAAATGAAACAGTAAAAATCCATTCATCTCTATTTATTCATTTGTTCATTCATTCGTTCGTTCGTTCGTTCAATCATTTATTTACTCGTTCACTCATCTGTTTTTTCGTTCATCCATCCACACCTAAACAGACATTCATTCACTCATTCATCCATCCAGTCAGATTCTTTTCAGCTTGGAAATGATCAAAAGAGGGCCGAAAATTAAAAATTATATATATATGTATATGTACATATATATATATATATATATATATATATATATATATATATATATATATATATATTCTATAAATTCGGTAGAATTTATAGAATATTGTAAAAATTATGGTCTATTACCAATATATATATATATATATATATATATATACCAATCAGTCATTGAAGTAAAAGCAAAAGACTAAAGGTAACGACAGCATCCTTTTATGATTTCGAAGAACGATTTAGTAATAAAATAAATTTTGTTTGATTCACGATTAATTAAATACAGTTTTTTGGATAGTTTTTCGAGTAAATTAATCAGCTAATCAATCATTCAACCAATAACAATCGATCAAACGATCCATCAACCAATGATATCAACCAATCATTCAACTAATCAAAATTCACAACCAGCGTAACGTCGTTATCTTTCGCATCAACAATTTTTATGTTAACCAATCAACCAGCCAATCAGTCCGTGAACCAACCAATCAGCAATTGAATTATCTAGTGAGCCAACCAATCAGCAACTGAACCATCCAGTCAGCCAACCAATCAGCAACTGAACCATCCAGTCAGCCAGCCAATCAATCCCTCAATCAGCCAGCCAATCAAAGTTTACAATATTGTACAGCACGCACAACTTCAGAAAGTTTGGCGTATGAATCAACATTCTCTATGTTAACACTGCGACATTCTAGATAGTTCCTTATCAGCGTTAAAGCCCCAACTGCATCATCATAAGATGGAGGAGGTACTGATAACGATACCGATGTTGTTGTTGTTTTTGTTGTTGTTGATGATGTTTTTGTTGATGTTGACGATGTTGTTGTTGTTGACGATGTTGTTGTGCAGTTTTCATCACCGTCATTGATGATGTTGTCATCGTTAACCAGGTGACGACCATCACCTCCAAAGTTATTTTTGTTATTATTATTATTGTTGTTAGTATTATTGTTATTGTTATTTTTATTTTTCCTACCCCGAGAACTACCAATGCAACCATTGCTGAGGCCACCACGGGTTTTAAATTCACCATTAGGATGATTTCCATCACCTCCTGCCCAATCATCATCATCATCATCGTCGTCATCGTCACCAGCAACATCACCATCATAGTTTGGCTCCTCTTTAATTACATAATCTATATACACGTTCCAGTTATCATCATCACCGCCAGCGTCATCATCATCATCATCATCATTGGCATCCTTTTTAATGTTTAGAGTTCGTCCTAATCGACTTTTGACCCTCAGGTAATTAGGAACTTTCACGTGATCAGCAGGGATGTGCGGCCGACATTTTCGGCCACGTGTCTGGGCGCTGCTATTTTTCGGAACTTTTTCAGTTGATCGGAGTAAAACTTTTTCTATTCGTCTGGAGTCGGTATTCGAGATGTTATCTATCTGGTTGATATCGGTATCGACCGTAAGATCGGTCGAGTTTAGCGAGTATTTATTGTTGCCGTTATTAGCTTTTTGATAAGGAGAGGATTTTGAGAGATTTTTGTGTTTCTTCTTCGTTTTGTGATTGCTGTCCTTGAATAAATACTGCTTCATTGCACGTGTGATGAAGTTGTTCTCGCAATTGATCGTTATTTCATCGCTGTTATGACTGTACGAGATGCCATTTCTTTGTTTGAATCGATCGAACCAGCCGTTCGAGCATTTAAAACTGGCGTGACCAAAAGATTCGGCAAACTTTCGCGCCTGACTTTGAATGAGAGACTTGCTGACGGGCACTAGATTCAATTGTGCCTCTTTCAGCCAGCTTAATAAGGCGCATTCAACGTCGCCGTAATTGGAGAGTCTGATTCGCTTGCGGTTAGAAGCGCCACCGTCTGACGTGATGAAGATCCTCTCCTTGTTCTTCATCCAGGTCGACAGCGTGCTCACTGGCAGGCACATCTGACGTGCCACTTCCGTCAGTTTCTCGCCCCTTTCAACGCGAGAAATCGCGACCATTTTGTCATCAATTGTAACGTTCTTCCTTCTCTGCAATGGATACATTTATTAACTATATACAGAGAGATCGCAAAACACCCACGCGTAGTTTATATTTCATTTAGAGAGCATAACTTATTGAATATTGTTGTTTAACTTTAAAGTGAAGTGCTTTAATGAATTATTTCAGCAGCATGTCACAAGAAGACAGGCATCAAGAGCGTTTGTAGCATAGATAAGCAATCATAAGTTATCAGTAAGTTCAATAAACTTCATAAAGTTAATAAAACAACAAATATCACAGCTAAGAAAGAATAATCAACCAAACGAACAAACAAAATAGACACACACAAATGAACAAACACACACACTTAAATACAAACAAATACACAAACATTCAGTACTTACTAATAGGTTATTACAAGACTTCTAAAAAACACATACCAGTGTAAAGAAAAAAAAATAAGGAACACAGACTTGAAAAATTAATTAAATAACCACAAATCAAGTTTGATGAATTAAAACACCAAAGAACAAACAGAAACTGCGCAAAAAGTGAACAAACAGTCGGTAACTACATCAAATATTCATCTTAATACACAATGTATGTTTAAAACAGTACATATATGCACCTAGATGCTTCACTTTTTGTACACAGTGTGCACAACAAAATACCATTATTCATATTTAAACACAAATACACACATACACTCACACACATACATACACATTTAAGTCATATATAGGTGTGTTTTATATATTTATATAAGTTATATATAAGTGTGTTTTATATAGTTATGGTAATATATATATATATATATATATATATATATATATATACACCCAGTTTCACACATCACACATATATACAACATGAATACACACAAATGCATATATAAAACAGCTTAATATTGATAATATGCACTATGTTTAATTAACTTAAGCTAGACTGTAGACTAGTCTTAAACTAGACTGTAGGCCATAAGAATGGCATAATGTTTATTGAGGTACTGTACTTATCAGGTGATCTTTAACCAACAAAACATTTAATCCTTTATTGTAATTAGTTGAAAAAATTTATTAAAAAAAAAGTAATAAGGAGTTAGGAGACCCTTTTGAAATTAGGAGAACATTCATCAACTTCAACAGACTGCCCCAGGCTGTTCATATTCACCATCTGATCGTCTCTTGAAAAAAATTTGATTGAATCAGTTTAAAATAGTAAAAACAAATGCGGAAATTAGTGTAACTAAAACCTCAAATTAGGCATAAGCAACGCACGGACCTTTCACAAGCTAGATGTAGATCGTGAAGAAAAACAGGATTTTAATGATTTAAAAGTAAATTCGACTAAGAAGGATAGATAACGAAATGACTTTAACTGATCATATTTCTTTGTTTAAAAGTAAATAAACTAAAAGTGAATCGATTCAAATTACATGTTTCTAACATTTTTAAACATAAGATTATCATTTTCAAGCTAAATTTTTACAGATGTTTTGCTAATTATTTAAAATTTTAATGTAATTTTAAAACAGTTTAATGAATAATTTACAAAAGGTCACTTTGTTACTAAGGCGATCACTGAGCACTAGTTGTCAACTGTTTGGAAAAACCAGGAAAGATGCTAAAACCAGAGAACTATTGGACAGGGTTATCAGGGTTGATCATGCCGGAGAGTTTGGGGCCGTCAGAATATATGAAGGGCAATTAGCTGTCTTAAAAAAGACTGATGTGGCTGACACAATTAAGGTTGTTTTATTCTTAATTAATAGTTTAATTAATAATTTAGTATTTAAAAATTAAAAGTTATGTTATAATATTTACGATTTCATTTCGTTTTTTTACAATTTTGTTATCTTCTTCATTAATTTCATTTGATTATTTTATTTAATAATAAGTAAAATAAATTAGTTGACACTATCATTAAATTGATTAAATGATGGTTAAGTTGACTGACAACCAGCTTCTAATTATCCATCCAAACCAATAAGGAAATGAAAAAAGAAGAGGACCAACACTTGAGAGCTATGAATACACTAATCCCCAAGCACAGAGTTCGGCCGACAGTTTTGCTCCCTCTGTGGAACGTCGCAGGATTTTTTTTGGGGGCTTCCACAGCCCTGTTAGGCAAGAATGCTGCAATGGCGTGCACTGTTGCTGTTGAGACTGTCATTGGTGAACATTATGACAAGTTAGGGATTATTCATTTTCAGTTTTTGAAGTTTGATATCATTGGGGCACAATGTCATTAACTTACTTTCTGTTATATGCATTGTTGTGCATATGCATGCACGTACACATTCACATACACACGCACACACAGACATTTACTCACTATCATTAACATAATTTATTTAGGCAGATCAGGCACTTGATGGCTGATGGGGAGGATGGTTTGGAGAAGCACAGGGAATTACTTACCGTTAGCATTTTTTGTTGTTTTGGTAATTTTTCAAAAATTAATTTACTATTCCAGCATTTTTTAGATTAAATGTAAATATTACCAATAATATTATGAATACTGATATTAATACTATTATAATAAATAATCATTTTAATGTCTCATTTATATAGCGCCTCTGTGTATCATTTGCATTGCTCAGAATCAGCCTACAACAGGGATGGGCAAACTTTTTGCTGTGAGGGCCGCGTTGAAGACTATGTTACCTTTGAAGGGCCGCATATGTACTTGAAAAGCAAATTTTTTCGACCCGGGGGGAAATTTTTTTAATATTTGTGGCTCCTTTTTTGATCATAACGTCTGGTTGACGACCTTTTTTTGGCAAACCGCTGGCTGCATAAAACAGCTTCGCGGGCCGCATGGGGCCGTAGTTTGCCCACCTCTGGCCTACAACAAACACCCACGCATAATACATGTTTGAAAGTAAAGCCTCACACAAGCATATGGTAGCATTTGAACCCTGGCCCTAAACCAGCCTAACCTCTACGCCATTCAACTATTCTAATGATTAAACAAGATTAATTAGATTTGATTGTTAATAAGATTAATATAACTTAATAAGATATTTAGTGAGATAATTGAATTGAGAAATTGATAAACTTTTTTCTAAGATACTCAGCAAATTTCGAGACGATGAGCTTGAACATTTAGATACCGGTCTCAAGCACGACGCAGAAAAGGTTTTGCTTGTTATTATTATCCTTAATTATTATTATTCTTATTTTTCTTATTATTAATATTGTTACTGTTCGTGTTTTGTTTGTTGACGAGGGTTTGTTCGTTCGTTTGTTCATTCATTCATTCATTCCTTTATTGATCTTCTTCCTTTCATTCACTCATCCAATTTGTTTCACTTCAATCATACCAGATCATACATTTGAAATTTGTAAACTAGCTTACGAAATTTTATAATTTTCTTACATTTTCAAATTATATTTAATTCAAATCTAAACTCATCCCTAATTTTAATTTCAAATTCGCTTTTAGTGTTTTTGATTTTTTTTTGCTCCCTTGCAGACTGTCCTCTACGAACCACTCTCAAACGTTATAAAAGCCGGCTGCAAAGTTGCAATATGGCTGTCAGAAAGAATTTAATTACTAACAGTTATTATTATTATTTTAATATTTGTTATTATTATAATTATTATTATTTAATATGAATGAATGTATGAAAGGATAAATAAATGATTGAATGAATAATAGATGGATAGATGCTAACAATATTAATTTTTTATGTAAGCCGATATATATGTGTGTGTGCGTGCGTGTGTGTGTGTGTGTGTGTCTGATAAATCATAAATAAATAATACATTTTTTCTCCAAAATCCCAACTGATGAAAAATTTAAAAATAACACGACAGTAACAGTTCTAATGGTAAAAGTATGGAGTGTTACAAATTCAATAGAAAAGTTGTTTGTATATGTGTGTGTGTGTGCGTGTGTGTGGGTGTGTATGTGTGTGTGTGTGTGTGTGTGTGTGTGCATATTTATCGTAATGTGATTAGGTTTCCCAAAAAAAAAAACATTGGAAATTAAATTTTAAAAATACAAACAAAGACTACGTTGTAGATAACGCAGCGAAGATCTTTTGGTGGAAAGAATCTAAAAATTATTGGAAATTATCTGCGCAATGTATTTTGTAAGGCACTTTTATAATTAGTACATGTTCGTTTTCTCTGTCTCTCTCTTTCCTTCTCTCTCTCTCTCTCTCTCTCTCTCTCTCTCTCTATATATATATATATATATATATATATATATATATATATTGTATATATACTTTGGTTTCAAATGGTTTTAAGGACGGTTAAATGTTTCTAATTAACTTTAAAAGCATGATGTAGATTTCATTTTATTCTATGCTTTTACTGTTTCTGTTTATTTTTGATGGCCAAATAAGCTACGCTTCTGGTCTTAACAATAATACATATATATATATATATATATATATATATATATATATATATATTTATTTATTTATTTATTTATTTATTTAGGAACGAGGTTTTCATTAATACATATTTTGTTAAATAGTTGATAAATGCAAAATTTTGCATTTATCAACTTTTTGTTAAATAGTTGATAAATGCAAAATGGGCAAATAAATTTAACAATATATATATATATATATATATATTATATATATATATATATATATATATATATATATATATATATATAAGGCATATATTAGCTTTGCAAGCACGTAATTCAAATATAATAAGTTATATATATATATAAGTTAAGTTATATATATATATATATATATATATATATATATATTAACTCTCCACAAATTTTTCTCTCACTGATTCAGTCTTATCATGGTTCTCTTCCTATCTTTTAGGCCGCACCCAGCAGGTTTCTTACTATAACACTCTTTCTGACGTAAACAAACCATCGTTTGGTGTCGGGATCTGTGTTAGGACCTCTGTTGTTTCTTAAGTACAGTGCTGATGTTTTTGATATCATTCAAAAATATGAGTCCAGCTCCCACGCCTTTGCTGTTCAATACTAGTTAAGAAGAAGTGAGAATAATAAGACGATCGTAAACCGGAGCGTGTAGGCTCTATTAATATATCTGACAAGTACTTAGGAAAGAATTTAGATAAATGTGCAAATTTTAAAAATTATTCCATATTTTATAGGTAGCCAGTGCAAGAGAACAAGATATGGAGATATATGAGAAAAGAAAGGGGCACGAGCAACTAGACGAGCAGCAGAGTTAAAAACTTAAAGGATAGAGTGTTATATAGAGTTGTATAGAGTTATATTGGGTTATATAGAGTTATTGTCACTATAGAGAAGGATATCATTATGTATTTTGAGTAAAGAAGTTTCAGTACTGGCAGCAGGTCTGAAACCTGATTCAGATACAGGTAGCAAGGAGTTATCATCTTCGGTAAACCAGCTTTAGTGCAGGTTTGGTTTATATAGTTTTTTTAAACAAAGCAAAGTTAATTCTTTAGAAAAGTTTAGCAGGTACTTAGTTGCTGTCGTATTCTTCATGTTTGTCATCATTTCTTTGTTCTTTATAAAAATGCCAACAACAATTCGGTAGAATTCATACAATACAGTTTATATATATGTATATATATATATATATATATATACAGTATATAAATATATACATATAAACAACGCAATATATATATGTGTGTTTGTGTGCGTGTGTGTGTGTGGATCGTTGTTTTTCCAATAGTGATGATGTGTGCATGACGTTTATTGTGTCGTAATAAAAAATTAAAATATTAAAATATGAAAAAGAAATATTTAATGTCAAAGAGTAGAATGATTAACTGAAGGTAAATGTAGCTAATAATAATCTCAATTGGACTAAAATTGAATTTGATTGAAACTACGGAAACAAGTAGAGGAATAAGACTGAAAATGATTTTAAAAGGCGAACGAAATGAAATGAAATCGTAACTTCACACTCGTGTGATCATGAATACTTGAAAATGAGCATTTGTATTTTTAGGTGCTGGTAAGTAATACTTAACTGTTATTTGACTAACATACTTACTACTACTATTATTATTATTACTATTATTTTTTTTTTTTGTATTATTATTATTATTAAACACACACACACACACACACACAAGTACACGTAAGACACTGATATGTAACAGAAATTGTAAAATTGTTTAAGCCAATCCATCCAATCATTCTTTAATTTCAAGATGCATGTTAGATATATATCATGTGTGTAAATGTATATATATACATGATATATGTGTATTTATATATATATATTTGTGTGTGCGTGTGTGTGCGTGTGAGTTGTATACAAATAGAGCTGCTACACAATAAGTTACGTAAAAATTGGGACGAAGCCAAAGTGATTTAAAATATTTACCCGACGTTTAGAGTTATAATAATAATATTAAGAAGAAGAATAATCAGAAGAATACTAATAATAATAATAAACAGAGTTATGTGTTTTCTTTATTTTCATTATATATACTTCATCTATTATTTATTTATTACATAATATTAAGTAACTATAAAAGGTTTGTAGACAAATATATACACACATATATATATATATACATAGACACACACACAGAGGGACTTATACACACACAGTTACAGACACATACACACACACAAAAACACACTGACTTACAAACACACACACACACAGACTTAAAGGCAGTCGGTTGCATCCATACATCTCCCTTGTATAACACAGAATGAATGGTTGGCGGCTTAAATAGGATGGAGAATAACACGATCCTGATTCAATACACCTTATGAATATTAATTAATTAATTAATTAGGTAGTTATTAACATTAATTAGGCGATTTATGTTAATAAGGTGGTGGTTAATATGCTAATTATATGTTAATTTTATGAATATTGATGAGGGTATTGACGTGTTGATATAGTAATAAAACGAAATATCATTTACATCATTCATACACACATCTCTCTCTCTCTCTCTCTTCCTCCCTCTCTCTCTCTCTTTTTCTCTTTCTCTCTCTCTCTCTCTCTCTCTCTCTCTTGTTTTCTTCCTATTGTTCTCTCTGTATACAACATTATGACAACCACACACATGCTAACATACACACATACACATACTAACACACAGATACAAACAAACAAACATTCATTCATACAAACAAACATACATGCAAACAAGCAAACATACTTCTTCAAATTTGTTGTTGACCTGAACTAACGTACGTTGGGTCTGAACGACTGGATGTATTGTCGCAAATACGTTGATTGTTGTTGTTGTTGTTTTTGTTGTTGTTGTCGTGGTTGTTGTTGTTTTTGTTGTTGTTGTCGTTGCTGTTGTGGTTGTTTTTGTTGTTGTTGTTTTTGTTGTCGTTGCTGTTGTTGTGGTTTTTGTTGTTTTTGTTGTTGTATTTGTTGTTGTTTTGCAAAACGGTTTCGTCGAATTCCAACTTACGTATGCTTCTCTTGCCTCGCCTATTAAGAAAGTTCAATCAATTATGAAACTGTTCAATAGACGAATTAATTAATTAATTAATTAGAAAGTAATTAATAAAAAAAAACAATTTTATTGAATAAATACCTAGAAGTTAAAAACAAAGAACTGAAAAAAAATTGAAAATAATTTAAATGTTTTTAATATTCCCGCTTAATTAAAAATTCAACTGAGAAAATTGATAAAGTGGGGTATGTATCGGATTTCTCAACTGCACATACACACGCGCACACACACACACACACACATTTACAAACAAATACATATACACACGTATTAAAACATATGAAATGATGCATGCTACATATTAAAACTTACACATACATGCATAAATACACATGCTAGTAGTAGTAGTAGCAGTAGTAGTAGTAGTAGCAGCAGTAGTAGTAGTAGAGGTAGTGGTAGTAGTAGTGGTAGTAGCAACTTAAGAAAATATACTAACTTTACTTTAAGTCTGCAAGCACACTCAGTTTCGTTATGTAGCTGGTACAATCTTCGCCTATGCTGGCTCAACCTTCTCAATTGTGGCGACCACTTAGAAGCCTGTATGTGTGTGTGTGTGTTGGTGTGTGTGTTTGTGCGTGTGTGTGTGTGTGTGTGTGTGTGTGTGTGTGTGTGTGTGTGTGTGTGTGTGTGTGTGTGTGTGTGTGTGTGTGTGTTCATCATCACCGTCACCAACGTCAAAAACTTGGTAAAATGTTTCGCTCCTGCTAGCTGCACACTCGAACACCAGACCCCCACCACCACCATCATCACCACCATCATCATCATCTTCGTTGCTGCTGGGATCCAAAAGATTTTCCTGATTTGAATCATCTTCATCATGATTATCGTCGTCGTCGTCGTCATTGTGTTTAGCGTGGTTGTCGCTGCAGCAGCTAACGCACGGGCGACATTTATGCAACGTAACGTAACGCTTCGAGAATAGTTCGTCCAGTTTGTCTAGGTCACTTCCGGTTGAGGCAGCTAGCGGAAGCGGAAGTACGTGTTTGAAAGAAGAAAGTAGGATGGGTTGGAGCTGTGGTGCGCAGTTGCCTGTTGAGGTTGACGTCATTGTTGTTGACTGTCTTTCGAAATCTGGTAATGATGATGATGGTGGTGATGATTTTAATGATGATGATGATGATGATGGTGGTGATGATGAAAATGATGATGATTAATAACATTTACCAATCAGTCAATCGATTAACCAACCAGCCAATCATCAGCCAATCAACTAGCCAACCAATCAACTAGCCAACCAATCATCAACCAGTCAATCAATCAACCAACCAGCCAACCAATCATCAACCAACCATCCAAAACGGATAGCCAATCACCGCCGAGTTTTTGAAACTTCTCAATAATATTTTGATCAGGCTCTATGTAGTTTTTGTTGATATGCGTGTTGTTGCTGTTGTTGTTGTTGCTGTTGTTGTTGTTGTTGTCGTTGTTGTAGTTGTTGTTGTTTTTGTTGTTTTTGTTGTTAGTTTTGTTCCATCTTTCGATGTTGTTGTGCATGTCGTGAACGAATCGTTGTCTAGATTTCTGAGCACTTTCTGCTATCGTAACCAATCATAACAATACTAACAACAACATAATAATAATAATAACAATAATAATAATAAAAATAATAATAACAATAAGAACAACAACAATAATAATAATAATGAACGTTTGAAGACCTTGAAGAGAGAGGTATATAGACAGGAGCCGAAGTAGATTATCACCGAACTCAGCTTCCACGTCAGTTTGAACACCCCTTGAATAATTCAATGAACTCATCCGGCTATTATTATTACTATTATTATTATTATTGTTGTTGTTGTTATTATTATTGTTATTATTATTATTTATTAAAATGACGTCAGTTGTTTTCTTTAAAGCCAGAAAAAATTTCTGGAAGGCAGATTTTATTTGCGACTTTTTAAGCGTCCAATTTTCATAAAATGTATTATTATTATTATTATTGCTATTGTTATTGTGGTTGATGTAGCTGCCGTGATAGCTGCTGTGGTAGCTGCTGTGGTTGTTGTTGTTGCTGCTGCTGCTACCATTAGACGCCAACAAAGACGACAATGAATCGAGAATGACGTCATTGATGAACGCGAAAAAATCATTTTCGTCGCTTACGTCATCGTTCAGGTATTTAAAGACGGCGTGCATTAATTGGTTGAATGATCTGTATACTGTTTGTATTAAGTTGTTGTTGATGTTGTTGCTGATGCTGTTGTTGATGTTGTTGTTGTCGTTGATGTTGTTGTTGTTGTTAATGTTATTGATGCAGTTGTTGTTGTTGTTGTTTATGTTGTTGTTGATGTTGTTGTTGATGTTGTTGTTGATGTTGATGATGCTGGTGTTGTTGATGTTGTTGTTGTTGTTGTTGATGTTGTTGTTGATGTTGTTGTTGATGTTGTTTGTAAAGTTCTTAACAGTCGTCAAGAATTTCTTCAATTTCAGGTGCAGAAAGTAAAAAAAGTTCTCTTCGATATTTGTCTTGTCGTAATTGTTGCTGTTGTTATTATTATTATTATTATTATTGTTGTTGTTGTTGTTGTTGTTGTTATTATTATTATTATGATTGTTATAGATGTTGTTGTTGTTTTTATTGTAGATGTTATACATGCTATCGTTGGTGTAATAGATGTCATTCTTATTAATATTACTATTTATAGTAGTATTAGTAGTAGTATTGTTGTTGTTATTGTGTTTGTTATTATTATTGCCGTTGTTGTTGTTGTTATTATTGTTGTTGTTTTTGTTGTTGACAGTTTTGTCCCTGTAGCTGCCGTAAGCGTTTGTGTGGCGCATTACGAACAACTGGTTTAAAAGTGAATTTAAGTTGACGTCATCATAGTCTAGGAGCGCTAATATAAGATCTCTGCGTGGAATACCTTTATTCATGCTGATAATGTTGTTGTTGTTGTTACTGTG